TTGCTTTATTTCCTGCTATATTGGGAAATTATTTGCATAGTTTGATACACAGTGCCTCAAAAACTTTTATTGAATGAATTATTAATTCTGTTTATCAGAAGGCCAAACTGAGCCGTACCAAGGTTAAGTAACTTCCTTAAATTTACATAGTCAGAGAGTAGTAAAGCCAAGAGTCCAGTGTAGGAAATCTTCTAGTTTCCACTTGTACTCTCTGTACCAAATGTAGGCTAAAAGGGTGGGCCGTGCCTTCGACCATAAAAGTTAAAAGTTAGAGAATGTGCAGTCTTACCGGGTTCAAAAGTTTTCCCAGGTGTGGTTTGTGACAACGTCAAAAGTACATTTTTTAACAGAACATGAGTTAACAATGTAATAACTGATGTTATCTTAAATTCTGCTAATAGTAACAACAAGTACACAGAACTATGTCATGTTAGTTATCATTTTAGGATCTCTACATAAATTAATTCAGTGATGCCCAGAATAGTCCTAGGGACATATACTATTATTCCAATTATATAGACTTCTAGCAGACTGAAGCAGAAGAAGGTTATTCCATATGGCATTCTCAATAGTAAATAGCTGAAGTGAAATAACTACTGAAGGGTGAAGAAATTAAGATGTGAAAAAGAGTTTTAAAAATTCAAACTAGAAAAGGGAATTTGGTGACTCATGATTCAAAATCAAATTCACTGAAATTGAGTTAATTATGGCTTATAATGATTTGATAGGTCAGAATAGAACGGCTTCTTTGGTTTTCCAAGGCTGTAAATCTGTGGGAGCAGAAAGCCTTAGCTCTCACCTAAGGAGTGCCTACTGGGTTCGAACTTCAGGCCTTGTGGTTAGCGGCCCACCATGTAACCTATTTGAGATGTAGTAAATTACTATGGGCCTCTAGCCATACTCCCTTACTTGATGTATTATAAATGCTTGGGTTAGTTAAACTTTATTGTGTCGACCTGGCCAATAAACATATTGGGGTTAATTGAAGGGCAGAGGGATAAATGGCTCGCTGAGCCTCGCCTTTCTAGTTCTCGGGTCTCTTGTTGTCTGATGGTCGGACCAGGGTGCTGCTGCCTTATCCCGGTCCCTGCTTCAGCTGGCAAGGCTCATTTCCTGCAAGACATCCCTGATGAGAAGCCACCTGGACCTACCCCGATGTAGCCCTGGTGCTGGA